GCTCTGGGATGGCTCCTGGGAGCAGGGAAGCCCAGGGCTATGACCAGGGGCCAGCTGGGGAGGTCAGACAGATAGGGCAGGTGGGCAAGGGATCTGAGCCACAGCCTGCGGGTACATGCCCCAAGAGTGGCCACCCAACGGGAAGGGAGAGGAGGGGGGAAAGAAAGAGGGAGATAGGAGGGGGGAGGGGGGAGGAAAGGAAGAGGAGGAGGGAGAGGGAGAAAGGCCAGCTTATTTGTACTCTCAGGGTTCCCAGTGGTCACTTAAGCATTTCTGACCTCCTTTGTCAGCTCTGGGGCCTTTCCCCTCCAAGGAAACGGCCAATTCTGGCAACAGCAGTCTAGATTGAGGCTTCTGCCTGCTCAAATGCTGAAAAAAGCTAGGACCTGAAATCTCTCACCATTTTCCTTCTCTCTGGACCCCATTTCCCCAGAGAAGTTGGGTAGCCTCAGAGGGAACCCCCTTCTGGCTGCAAGTCTGGTATACTTCCCTCTGTCTAAGCGCTGGCCTGGATAAACCTTGCCTGGCTGCTCCCCTCCCTCCTTTGTGAGACTCCCTGAGGAAGAAGCATTGCCTGGAAAAAATAACGCTCACACCATGAGCTCCCTGCGGCTGGAGAGACAGGGAACAGGGAGCACCTTCCCGCCTGGCCACAGCACCAGGCTGTGTTCCAGGAAGAGCAAGAGCAAGAAGCACTGCCAGGGAAGCCTCAGGCCCAGGCCCCACTATTCCCGAACAGTCCCTGCAAACCACAGCCAGCAACCATGTCCCTCAGGGGGACCTCCACCCCCAACCCAGCAAAACCCAGCTCTTCTGACATGTGGCAACTTTCTTCTTATATAATACCTTGGTGCCCCTCCCATTCCCCCCCCCCCTTTTTTAGTTGGTGAAAGAGCCAAAGTGCTCTTTGGAGAGACAACTCCCACCCCAGGCTCCACCCAAACCTCCATTGAGGTCACATTGCGAGGCTTCAGGTGAAGCAAAGACAAGGGGACTTTTTCCTTGGCTGAAAAGCAGCCTTCCTCCCACCCACGTGAGCAGTTCAGCCTGAGGCCTGGGTGGGTAGGTTCCCGATAGCACAATCTGATCTCTGGGAAGCTGTGCATGGAAGAATCGCTTGCAAAGGTGCATAGGCACCAGGGTCTGGGCTGGTCTAGGCTTGAGTGGATCACAGTTGTGCCCACGGCCTAGAGTTAGAACGAGCTTCCTTCACACAAACCCCAGTGGCCTAGAAGAGTGCCCTCCGATCATGAGCAGGACATCCTTCATTTCCTCTTCCCTGGGAGGAGCAAAAAGCAAACAGCTGAACTTGGTGGGAACCAGTGAAGCGCTAGCCATCATCGGTTGAGTATCTACTATGGGCCAGTCACTTTGCACGCATGATCTTTTTTAACCTTTACAGCAACCCTATGAAGTATTATCATCCCTGTTTTACAGATAAGGAAACTGAGGTTCAGGAAGTTAAGCAATGCTCAGTCACCCAGCAAGTGGAGAGGCTGGAGTAGGAGCCCAGGTTTGCCCGGGCCTCGTTCCGGTCCGGTGTACCCGCCAGGCTTTCTTCAGTCACTGTCCACACACCATCCAGGAATGGTGTTCTGAGTGTGGGGGTGGAAGTGGGTGTGGACAAGTCTTGCTGTTATTGTTCCCAAGTGTATGACTTGTGAGAGCCCCTGTGTGTGTGTGTGTGTGTGTGTGTGTGTGTGTGTGTGTGTGTGTGTTGGGGGTGGGCGGAGGGTGATCTGGATTCCAAATAGCAGTTTCTAACACCGAGGTTATGCTGTAATGCTTCTGATTCATAATATGAGCTCACAGTCTCAGGGTATCCTGGATGTTGCTTCGAATGCAAATGCAGATCCCTTAAGTAAGAACTGGGGATTTCAGCACATTTCGTCTAGCTCCAGCCCAGCATACAGGTTTTATTTCGTTCCGGCCCCCAACAACCAGAGCACTCTGGAGCAGAAGCAACCCCTCCAACAGATGTTACTACTGGTTGCATTTCCTGCAGCCTGAGGTGAGTCAGGGAAGAATGGAGTTTCCAGGCAGTTTCTATACTGATGCATGCTAACACACAGGAAGGGTGCCAATCGGCCTGTCCAAAGGAAATGCCCAGGTTAGCAGATTCCAAGGCAGAAAGTTCCACACTCTTTCACCCCAAGGGGACGTCCCGTTGGGGTCAGGAAGACCAGGACACACTCTCCAGAAGGTTAGCCATAGGGTAGTGCCAGGAAACGGGGTTCACGAGCCCCAGGATCACCATGGGCTGACCCTTTTGAAACCAATGGTGCAGAATGTGTTCCAGCAGCAGGACTCACTGGGCCCACCACATGCCAAGTCCACATTTTTTTGAGGGAGATCATTCATTAATTTGTTCAGCTAACATGTACTGAACACCTACTAGATGCTGGGCATTGTGGGAGCAATATAGAGCTTATACTAGAGCTGAGGCTACAATAATACTGAAATGTGCTTTCAGCATTTTACGTATACCAACTCACGGAAATCCTTACTGCAACTCTATGAAGGAAGTATAGAGACTCTAGCTCTGAGTTTATTTTTTGACTATCACACTACAGTATGTACACAAATGACTATATAAGGTGGAAATGAGTGTTCAGAAGGAGGCTGAGGTTTCTCCAAAGAAGTGGCATTTGAAATAGTATGAGAAGAATAAGGAAGAATCTCCCAGCTACTTGTGGCCATCCCAACTCCACCATGAGCAAGGTTTCCTCCTGGGAGACCCAACTGCAGAAGAAGGGCTATCAAGGCCTGAGTCCTGGACTGAGCCCATTCCCCTTCGAGGACACTAAGCTTCGTGTGCCCCCCACCCCCATCCTTCTCCCACTCCTCTCTTCTCTCACTCAGGGGCCCAGGGGCCTTGGCTCCTTTGGGCAGCACTTCCCTGGGTTCCGCAGTCACAGGAAGCTCTCAGCTGAATCTGTAACTGCATATTGTCTTTATTTTCTCCATTTATTAAAAGCAGCAGCCCACAGGCCTAAACACTCCAGCTATTTTTAAATCCCACATTTAAAAGTTGAACTCTCATCCCCATGGGCACTTCAGGGCACTCTTTCTTTGCTAGGGTGGGGTGAGGGGCTGACAGAGCCACGGGGAGTAGGGGGTTCCAGTTGGTGCTTAGGGAGGCTACACTGGCAGTGGGCAGGCTGTCTCAGATCAAGCTGCATGGGGTGGGGGGGGTGCCCTCCAGTTTCTTCACCACCTTGTCCCCTGGGAGCTACTCAGACCAGAGTAACCAGCCAGAGGCCAATCCAATTAAAGTGGAGACTCAGCCAGGGCCATGCAACTGAGATGGTTTATCACAGTAATTGAATGTTTACAACCCTGTTATTCAATGTCCTGAGCAGTAGAGAAAAAAGGACCCATGAATTCTCAACCTGGGATGGTTTCACCTTTCCCCTAAGTCCTGAAGCCATCGAACAGCCTGTGGAAAGGGTGCATTTCTCTGATTCTAAAGGGGCATGTGCCACACCATCCCTGGGAGGTTCTGGAGAAAGACAGGTGGTTTCCTCCCCTCAGCCTGAAGCTGATCGGGCAGGAGAGGCTTCTCCTCAGAGCTGCAGTTCTGCTGCCTTCACCAGTCCTCCAATTTCAATCCTGAAGCTGCAAGGACTCAGAGAGGCCAGACCTCCAGGCCACCACCAGACCAGGCTCCCCCTGCTGGAACAAGCCATACTTCCCCTCCCCCCAGACACAACTGCCAACAGGGATCCCCTGCACACAACACACGTGCCCCAGCGGCCTCCATAGTCAGCTAGGGCCAGCCAGCAATCCTCATCCCAAGTGCCCAGTGAGGCTCCACAACCTGGCACACAGGTCCGAGGTGGGATGGTTGAAGCAGGAAGTAGCCACCAAAGTTGTCACCAACAAAGTTTTAAATTGGGCGAGTAACTTCCCCTTTCATCCTTCCAGCAGCTTACTCTGGAGGTTGGGATGGTATACCCAATGGCCTCCACTTTAAGTGGCAGGTACCACCTCCAGGTCGGCCTTCCTTAGGGCTGAGGCTTGAAAGCCGCAGGGTGCCCTTACCCAGAAGCCTGAATGGGGGCCTTCAGGGGGACAACCTGATGCACACACTCCAAACCAACCATATGCAGGGGCCAGACAAAACCCCGGCTCCCGCGTTCTGGACAGGCACCACCAAACCCAACACAGCGTGAGGTGAGGCGCAGGGAGAGCTCCGAAGGCCGCAGCGCACGGGCTTGCGGGGGCCGCGAGAGTGATGACGGGTCTGAGGTGGTCCCCGCAGCGCCGGGGTGCTCTGGGTGAAAGCAGCCTGTCCGCCTAAACGCTCCAGCTAAGGCCTTTAATGCACTTGCCCCAGTTCCCCGCCACTCCTGCACCTCTGTCCCCAAACTCCCAGCGCGGTAGTTTCCATGTCCACTTTCCCATGCACACTGGAAAGAGAAGGGGAAGGGGCTCCCGCGCCAAGTTTCCTGCATTTCACGAGCCCCTCCCCGCGCCTCTCCCAGGCCTGAGCTCGGTCACGCAAGCCAGTCCCTGCGGACACCACGTTTCGCTCAGGCGGAGGAGCAGCCCTGTTCCTGAGCCGCCGCCGCCGCCGCCGCCGCCGCCGCCGCGGGCCCAGTGGGTGGGGAGGGTTGTCCTGCCCTGGCCGAGCCCGGGTGGGCGGGGGCCGCGCGCGAGCTGCGTAGCTGCACAAACACGGCTGGTTGGCGCTGCACACGCAGCTGCGGGCCGCAGGGGTGCCGGCCAAAGAGGGGCCGGCTGCAGAGCTACCAACGCACGTCCACACCCACGCACACCCACGCACACACTACCGCAGCCGCCCAGGCCGCAGAAGTTGACGCGCCGCTCCCCCGGCGGCCCCGCGCCCCCGCTCGGGTAGGCGCCTGCAGAGCTGCAAGCCCGCGCGCCCAGCAGCTACCGCTTGCACGCAGCCTGGGATCCCGTGGCCGCCGCGCCAGGGCGGGCTGCGCCTGGCCGCGTGCAGGCCTCGGCCGCCACCCAGCAGCCTCACTTACCCGCTCCTGCCGGAGCTCCGGCATCGGCCGTCCCCTTCCCTCCGCGGGCCGCCGCCTTCGGTCGCCTTCCAGACTCCAGCCGCCTGCACGTACTCCCCGATTTTAAACACAAACAGGCGCCGCCGCCTCCCCGCGGCGTTCGCAGTGCTTCCACCAGCCCGCGCCTCCCGAGGCTGGGAAGTTTGCTGGTAGGGCCCGGGCGGCACGCGCAGGTTGTCACCCCTCGCTCGCGGCGCAGGAGCCTCAGCGCACCCCGCGCTGGTGGTGTCCGCCTCGCGATCGCTCTCCCTCCCTCCGTGTCACCCCCGGTCCTGCGATGCAGTGTCAGGATTGCACTGCTCTGACTCATCGGTTGAGCTCACAGCTTGAAAAAAAAAAAAAGAGAGAGAGAGAGAGAGAGAGAGGGCGAGAGGCAACAGCGAAGGAGGAGGACTCTGGCTTGCTACAAAGGATTGCACAACTCGGGCTGGGAGCGCGGAGCCCCAGCGGCCAGCCGGCGCGCGCGGCACGGAAGCGAGCAGGAACCAGCTCTACCACTTCATCAGCACAACTGTCTCGGGTCGGCCTCTCCACCAGCAGGCCCGGCGCCGCCCACTTCCTGCGACCAAATAAGGCCGGGAAGGCGTCTTTAAACCTCCGGCGGCTTGCCGGGGCTGGGGATTTCCAGCAGACCTCACCTCTACTCCGGAGTTAGTCGCCACCCTCCCCCAGCCCAGGCCGGCGCCCCCGATGGCTTTGCTGGAACCAACAGGCCACGCGGCTCGTTCCTTTCACACCAAGGTCAGGAGGAGACGGTGACGAAATGTTTGGAAACCCATCGGGCCTGCCAGGAAAGTGTGTGTGTGTGTGTGTGTGTGTGTGTGTGTGTGTGTGTGTGTGTGTGTGTGTGTGTGTGTGTGTGTGTGTGTGTGTGTGTGTGTGATGTTGGGGAAGACACAAGTCGCTTTCTTCCACAAAGAATTACTCTCTGGTTTTGGATACGGTAAATCATGCACAATCCTGTCCAAGGCACTTTATTAACAGTCTCCCCAAGTTGCACTTTTGACTCACCAGCATCCTAGTAGTGTAGACTTTATTGAGAAACTGGCCCCAGCTCCTACAGAAGACAACGTCTCTATTACTGAGGTGATGAAAAAGCTCCTGGATTCGCTTCTAGCAGCTGAGGCCAGAGTTGGAAAGAGCTTTTCATTGCATGCCCACATTCCCCCTATCTTCCCCACTATCCTCCTGATGCCTCTTTGCCTGGCTGCTGGGAAGATGGGCAACATTTCTGCCTCTCAGGAGGTTCTTGCTAGCCCCCACATTCAGTGAGGCTCCAGAGCCAAGAGAAAAATCCAGGGGAGGGAGCTGTTTTTCCTGGTTCCTTCCATTTTGGGGGTTTCTGTTTGTTTTCCCCAAGGAGAAGGGTCAGGAGATCTTCCTTTGAAGGAAAAACCACTGAAGAATACACAGTGTCCCAGCAGCCACTCCCCAACACCCACTCCTGACAAGCAGGTGCATCCCTTGCTTTCTCAGGGAGAAGGGGAGGGGCGGCAGAATATGATTCTCACAGCACCTCTGAGCCTGCAGGGCAAGGGCCTCCAACTCCCCTCTCCCCCTCCAGTGGTTGACAGAGACAATACTCAGACCTTATGCCTAGAAACCTAGAAAAACCCACACTTTGTTCCTAAGGGACATGACCTTCCTGTCTTCTTCCACCCCTTTGCTGGCCCAAGCACCTGTGTGCATCGAGCTCACACCCTACGCAGGAGGAAACGGGCTTATTTGTACCTTGCTATGACAGATATGTCAAAGTAATGACAACTTAAAACAGTCTTATCTGCAAAATAAAAATAATCATGACAGAGGACTGGACTAGATGACCTCCTGAAATGCCTTCCAGTTTAAAACCCATGATTCTATGATTTTAAAAAGTGCATGGAGGAGCCAGGGGAAACACCTCCAAAAAAAAAAAAGAGCCCAGACTCTCAGATTTAGCATCTGCTATGAAGGTATTATTCCTGACAACTCTCAAAGCACATCCCCTGCATGTGAGAAGAGCTTTTTTTTAATCCGTCTTGTTTTATGGATGGAAACACTGAGGTTCAGAGAGGTTAAGTGACTTGCACAAGATCTGTGGGCAAGCCAATCATTTGTCACCTCTCTGCTTCTCTTCCCATCCATCCTAGAGGAAGGCAGTGAGGAACTGAGGTGCTCGGGTATGTTTGGAAAACATGCGAAATCATGCGTAGGCCCCCAAGTAGAGGCTAAACACTCAGGACTCCTGGCAGAGGCTCAGTGTAAAACCTTCTTGTTTTTTCCATTTGTCTGGTCTCTTCCTTCCCACTAACACCTCATCCAAGTGAGGGAAGCAAAAGCAAAGCCACCTAGTCTCCAGTGCCCACTTCTGCCAGGTTTCTCTGCAGACCTGTGGCCATCCTGACCTTCCCCTAGGGCCCAGCCCCTAGAGCTGGCCTTGGGCCAGCCCAGAGCAAGCCCCTGAGAACCAGTGCAGACCAGTCCAGGGATATTCCCAACCAATCAGAAAACCCAGCTGGGGAGCACATTCCTAGAAGAGCCTGCAACCATGGAGCCAGGGCCCAGCCTCCAGGGAGCAAGTGGGAGCCACTCCAAAGGGCACTCCCCAGCCTTGTCCCGCCAGGACTTCCTCCCTGTCCCATGCCCGGCTGTGCCTGGCCCAGGAAGCAGCACAGGAAGTAGAGGTCAGTGGCAGGATACATGAGATACAGGGGTCAGCGACCTGGAGGATCCCTGCTCATCTTGGAGCAGCTCATCCCTTCACCCCAACTAAACTTCCATATTCAGGCCACCTCAGAAAAGAAGAGAGGGAGGAAAAGGGGCCTGTGTGTATGCAAGGGAGGAGGGCTCAAGGCTGTCCCAGATGGCCCCTGCCTAGCAAGGGAAGCCTACCTCCCAAAGGCAGGCAGATGAGGATGTGTAAAGAAAGCTGCAGCTCTTCTGGGAAAGCCCTGGAGGTCAGTTTTGCTGCAGATATGACTATGCAGAATCACTGACATGTGAAGTGAAAGTTTTGGTTTTAGAAGCTCCAGTGATTTCTACAGGCCTCTGGAGCAGCCAAGAAGGGTGCCGTTTGGGGACGGATAAAAAGGTGTTCCAGGGACCTTGCCCAAAGAGTGGGCTTTTCTCCACCATTAACCTTCACAAACGGCAGAAATGAGGGGAGCACACAGCTCCAGTTCACAGGGAGTGCATCTGCTGAGAAACACTCCAGGAAACAAAGCACCCCAGACAGGATTCCAAACCCTGGGTCCCAATGAGGGTAGAATATGGCATTAGAGAGGCTTCCTGGGACCGCACCAGCAATCTGAGCTCTGCTCAGAATGACCCATCACTGCCCTGAGTGGTCATCACCAGTGTCCATTCTAAAGCAGCCTGAGACCATTAAGAAGCTTCCAAGGGTGAATTTTGTGTTATGTAAAGTATATCCCCATAAAGGTGTTATTAAGAGGAAAAAGAAAAAAGCTTCCAAGGAAGCCAGGTTCTCACCACCTACCCACCCACTTCCATTAATTTTCTGCAGCCATCACTCACTATGTAAAAGAGGAGTTTTCTTCTCCCCCAGCCCTGTGCCTGCATTCCTGTCCTTTTTTCATTGTCCTTTCTCTGTCAAGACCTTTCCATCAAGGCCAGCACACATAGTGTGTTTAAGTGGATAATCAACCTTTACCAGAGTGCGGGGAACAAATACAGTTGAGGAAATCACAAGTCCCCAATGCGGGGGCTGAGTTTGGGTCCTGCCTACTGCCAAAAGCTAACCTGCTGTGTGCTCTTAGGAAGTTGACACTTAACCTTCTCTGAGCCCATAACAGATGTACTGTAAAGTATTTGTTACATGAAAAATAAAAGAATGCCCACCTTCTAGGGATTTGGGAGAATCATAGGACAAGATACTGCCTTATACCTATATCAATGCTTTGTACGTATAAGAGGTTACAATTATTGTTTCTATATTCTCTTCTCCCCAAATCAGCTGTTTCTCCCTTTCAAGAACCTAGTCCAAGAAGGATGAGGGTGGGGGAGAAGGTGAAGGGAATAGAGAGCACAAATGAGTAGTCACAATATAGTCACAGTATGGAGAATATAATCAATAATGTTGTGAAGATTATGTAGGGTGCCAGATGGCACTGGACTTATCAGGGGGATCACTTCATAGACTGTGTAGATGCCTGACCACTGCGCTGTACAACTGAAGCTGAAGAAGAGTAATATTGAATGTCAACTATAATTAAATATATATTTACATATAAATATATAAATATATATATATATATATATATATATATATATGTATATGGTCACAGGATGTGGAGTACAGCATAGGGAAGATAGTCAATGGTACTATAACAGCTATATACAATGTCAGAAGGGTAGTAGATTGGGGGAGTTATCACTTCGTGAGGGGTGTAAATGTCTAACTATCACATTGCTTCATACACCTAAAACTAAAAAAGAAGAAAAGAAAAAAGGGAACCTAATCCAGTCAAGATTTTTTCTTTCCTCTGTAAAGACCTCAGGTTCACCCTATCACCCACAGGACGACCCTCTGCTGGGCTCTGCCCGGAAAGACTCTTTCCAGCCTTGACTCAATGTCTCATCCCAGTGTCCCTCCAAGGCGTCTCTCCCAGTCCCTGCTCTTTGTGTCCTTTCCACCAAGTTTTCCCACAGTGCTGCCCACCCAGCCTGAATTGGGACACTCTGATGGCTGTGCCTTCTCTTCACCCCTTTTACCATGTCCTCACTGAGGAAGCAGGGGCTCAAAACCACCCCAGCCATTAAGTTAAGCCATTGTGTGCTGAGAAGTCCCTGCAATGTCTTTCACCCTTGAAAACCCAGGGGACCTCCCCCTCAGTTCACATTTACTTCACCTGTTCCGGGGCAGCGTCATGCCCGCCACACCAGCCCACAGCTGTCCGCATCTCTTGGCCCTCCCACCTCACCCCGCCTCTGTCTCCCTCTCTTGTAGGCCTGGGCCAGGTTCTGAATGCCTTTGTCAGGCCTTAGAGGGAGCTTCTGCAGATGTCCCCAGTTGCTGCTGTCACTCTGGGAGAGATGTCTGGCTGGGTATAGGGAGAAGGACAAAACAGGTGTGGGTGCCAGGGATGGTAGGCCTGCAGGGCCACAAGGATAGAAACGCCCTTTCTTCACAGAGCCAGAGCTGCTAGCTTCCCAAAGGCCTCACCTCATTTCAGTACAGTTCCATGCCCCCTGCAGAACCAGCCCCAGAAAGACTCCGTCACTGGCTGTTCTCTGGAGCTTGGCTTCCCTATGGCAGTAGGTCAGGAGGAACAAGACCCCTAAGATCCAGTGTGTGCAATGGGACATGCTTCAAAGCATTATTTTAAA